TGCAAGTAGTTGCTTCATAAACCAAAAAAACAGTAATAAGTAACAATAACCAGCAATAAATAAAAATAAATAGTATAAAACAATAAATAGTGATTGACAGTGATTTTAAATCTATATAGTCGCCATTATAAAGAAGTATTTTCTTGCCAGCTGTGATGTCTGTTTTGCGAATACATAACTGTGAACCGGTTAAGGCAGTTAAAAAGAATCATGAATCAGTTTCAAACTCTGGTTTGAATCAAACTCGCGGAGAAAAAAAATTCTAATATTTAACAAAAATTGGTTGTTGTTTAACATAGTGAGGTTCGGTTGAGATGTTGAATCTATTGTAATGCAGTCTTTGACTAACAGGTAGGTGACATTTTGGAACCACAATATTTTTAAAGCACACATACATATTCTTGCTAAATGGATATTTATATAGTACAAACATAACCAGGATCACTACAATGGCAGTCTCAAATAAGAAGTTGCCTCTGAACTTTTTTTTTTTTCATGGTTCTATAATTTGTCAACTAAAATGTATTTTGACTCCTAAATGTTTAATTTTAGGAGTAAGTGACTTCCTAGTCATTTTCTTTAGTCTGGAGTTCTGAAAAGAGTGTGTTGACTTTACTGTCTTGCTTCAAATCACGATGAGCTTGGCCATTTAAGCTCACAATGTGTTTTTAACTTGTCACACTGAATACTTTCAACTCCTGAGGGATGATGTCAGCAAAATACCTGACTACCACCAATGACCAACAGGCATCTGGGAGTAGTTAGAGCTACTTTATTCTCACACCCTTCGTGTCGTGTGTGTGTGTGTGTGTGTGTGTGTCTCAGCATTATAAAGAAGTATTTTCTTGCCAGCTGTGATGTCTGTTTTGCGAATACATAACTGTGAACCGGTTAAGGCAGTTAAAAAGAATCATGAATCAGTTTCAAACTCTGGTTTGAATCAAACTCGCGGAGAAAAAAAATTCTAATATTTAACAAAAATTGGTTGTTGTTTAACATAGTGAGGTTCGGTTGAGATGTTGAATCTATTGTAATGCAGTCTTTGACTAACAGGTAGGTGACATTTTGGAACCACAATATTTTTAAAGCACACATACATATTCTTGCTAAATGGATATTTATATAGTACAAACATAACCAGGATCACTACAATGGCAGTCTCAAATAAGAAGTTGCCTCTGAACTTTTTTTTTTTTCATGGTTCTATAATTTGTCAACTAAAATGTATTTTGACTCCTAAATGTTTAATTTTAGGAGTAAGTGACTTCCTAGTCATTTTCTTTAGTCTGGAGTTCTGAAAAGAGTGTGTTGACTTTACTGTCTTGCTTCAAATCACGATGAGCTTGGCCATTTAAGCTCACAATGTGTTTTTAACTTGTCACACTGAATACTTTCAACTCCTGAGGGATGATGTCAGCAAAATACCTGACTACCACCAATGACCAACAGGCATCTGGGAGTAGTTAGAGCTACTTTATTCTCACACCCTTCGTGTCGTGTGTGTGTGTGTGTGTGTGTGTGTGTGTGTGCATGTTTATGTGGTTTATGAGGACACAAATTTGTATAATAACATGGGTATGACATAGGTATTACAACGAGAACGTGATTTATGAGGACATTTTCAGTGTCCCCGTAATTCAAAAGGCTTATAAATAATTCAGAATGAGTTTTTTTGAAAATCTAAAAATGCAGAAAGTTTCCTGTGAGGGGTAGGTTTAGGGGTAGGGTTGGTGTAGGGCAATAGAAAATACGGTTTGTACAGTATAAAAACCATTACGCCTATGGAGAGTCCCCATAAACCATAAAAACAAACCTGTGTGTGTGTGTGTGTGTGTGCGTGTGAGACAGTAAATGTTCAATTGTCAGCACACACGCTATAGAAATTAAAACAAATCTGTGTAATATCTTGATATCTTGAACATCTGCAGTGTACATACATACATGCATAAGAACAAAAGCAATTGCACATCCTGTCCGGCCCTCTAAGGACTTCTGCCGGATTAAGATATTGTTTTCCAGAGAGTAAGACAGCACAGGACCGGTCAGTGTCTTTGGCCGTTCTGAACCATGTAATGAATACAGACCGTAGAGGAGGAGTTTTGTGCATTAGCTAGTCATATCAGTGGAGATCTCAGGTTTTCAAAACACTTTAGGATGACATGAAGCCTGTGGTATGTGAGAAACAGTTTTGGCCTGACTTTCTATCTTAATTTGTCAGTCTCATATTCTCAGTGGCCAAACGCTGATGGCCATAAAGAAGCCTATTGAATCATCAAGACACCAAATGCATGGCAGTAAAAGACAATTAATACACGATTGCACTCTGGTAACAAGTAAACCAAAACCACTCTGAAGAAGGCAGATCTGTCGTGTCATTGACAACTTGAACTAGTCTGCCTTTTCCATGCCACATACAGTAAACATTGACCTTTTCCCTCTTTCATGCTATGCCTGAGTACACAGGCGTTGCGCTCAGTGGTATGCAACGGGCTTATCTGACAGGCATGCTTTGTCAGACCCATGTGATTTGATACAATGTCTCTGGGCTTAGTTCGTTTTAGCAATAATGACAGATTAGTCCCACGTAATTGCCTCTCAATTGACTGTAGACATAACAGTGCTTGTCTTTTTCTGACAGAAGCTCAGATACCATATATGAAGGCATAGTGAATAATTTAAGTGTTTACCCCTCTAAACTCACGATTCAGGTATTCCGCTCAGCTTTGTTGAGCTGCCACTGGCAGAATGACAGCTGCCCCATCTGTAATTAATGTCTGATTCCTATGTACAAAGACATCATTTTGTACGTCCTTGCCCTCTCACGTTAGCATTCAGAAGGCAAATCTTTGTTTTCATTTTTCAGCACTGGAAACACAATGAATGGTATTTTGCTGTGTAGGACGGGTGTGTATGTAACTTTTTCACCTTGTTTTATGCTGGTGATGACTTGTTGCAGGAAGAGAAGTCATCAGGTGAATGGCATTTGACATAAGGCCTTAGCAAACACTCACCTGCAACAACTAGTATATGATAGGGCCTCTTCTTAAATCAGATTCATTCAGGATAAAGTTCAGTATGAGCCTTGATAGCACCTTTCATTTAGATACAAACTAAATGTTGTGCGTATTAACTATTTTGTGTCCATTTCAATGATTAATGGGTGTCAAACAAAACAAACATGTTGCAAAAATGTTTTGCTATGGTTCCCATTAAGTTATGAGAATGTTATTTCTGAATAACACAGTGACCTTTGATTAGTCTCTTCTTTAAAAATAAAAATGCTTAGCTGTTAGTTATTCTTAGCTGTTATTCATTCCGTGGAGTCAGACCTTTTCTGTAATCGGTTCACAATGTTATTTCCCATTGTCTGTCATTTTTTTTGTCGATAAATCAAACACGTGAATGCTCTAAATCTATGAGATGAACAGTATTTCCAGGGCAGCTGCCCTTCGATGGAAACTAGCGGTAAAATGTGACACCTGTTTTCAATGAAACAAGTGGTACGGTCTCCAACTTGTGCAAAATAATAAAATCGTTCTGGCACAAAAGGTAATCATATACTCTTCACCATAAATGCATGGGAGATTCTGACAGGGTTTAGGCATGGTGAGCTATGGCTAGCTCTGTTAGAAAATAAAACTCAGGTTTACTAAGGGCCAACGCATTAGCAAGTAAAAAACAAATGCAGCTGACATTCACTCATATGTGACATACAATACAATTCGTTTAATTTAAGAAATGGAGACATTTGTAGACATATTTAAAAAATCATGGTTGAGCACATTTTCAAGTAGGATTGGCTCAAGCATAATATTTGTAACAACTAGCACTGGATTGGCGAGTTGTTTCTATGCAGGCTATATATAGTGTTAAGTGCTGGTATTCAGTTCATTGTGATTTTTTTTAAACAAAACATAAAAAGAGAATTATGTGCTAGCTAGTGGCAACTTGTCCACCCTTCACAAGAGAGGAGTGTTTCTATACTGTTGAAACAACAACATCCACTTGAAACAAATTTGGCATATGACTGATATGAGTGATTTGTGCTTCTCAATGGAAAGTGTTGCAAAGTTAATACTTTCTCTACCACATTCTGCTGATTGACAGATTTGGATAGAGTTCACATTCTGTGCTTCATTTGTTGACCTAAATGCAAGCTGTGGGTGCACCTGTGTATAGTTTATCATTAGTGTTTTATCTACTGAATCTAAAATATGTTTGTCTGCGGTTGATTGCTTAAAGAATTAAATAATTAGTTATTTTGAATGTTTGGAGATTTGAACTTCTTTGAGCCGTTTTTGCTGTTTTATTGATACTTATTCCCTCATACACTGTAAAAAAAATGATTTTCAAAATTGTAAATAAAACAAAGATAATTAGAGTACTTTTTACAAGAAAATATTTCAGTTTTTAAAATATATTTACATTTTTAATTCAGTGTGTTATTTTGCCATTTATTTGTAATTGTTGAAAGCTTGGTAATTTTCTGTTACAGCACATCATACTACTAAATATTTGTATTGCATTATGATATAATAGTGTAAATGGCTAGCGATTGACTCATTTGTCTAATCTACATCACTGTATAAAGTGGTAACCTGCAAGTATTACCTTAAAGAACTTTTTTTTTCTACCTGATTTAACATTTGGGTTTGTTGGTATAAATTAATGTATTTAGGTTTATTCAGTGATGTTAACATTTTCACTTAAAAATGCTAATAAGCAATGAGTTAATAGTGAGAATTGGTCCAAAAAAAAAAAAGTGTTATCAAAAATTCTTGTTTTAAAATGTTGTATTATTATCAGCTATCATCTGTATTAATATCAGTTTAAGGTCTGTTGTAATTGTAAACTGCGCAACCTTTTACTTTGCATAAGATTCTTTTAAACGGTTGACCTAATGTACAGCTCAGGGTCAAATCCATGAAGTCACAAACCAAACACAGTGCACCCCCATCCTTCTCAAGCTGATTATCTTTTCCTCTCCTTTTACCAAGCAGCAACATCACCTCACAGCAAGATCTCATGTGTCCAAACTCCAAACAGTCCTTATGAGCTTTTCTCTTGCCTTTCAATGGCCGTGGCGCTCTACAAGTCTCAACTTCACCTGGTAAGTGTGCACAAACAGAAAGAAACTTCCCCTGATTGTCTGATAACAACAGATCTGCTCTCCACAGATGTCTGATTCAAAGTTTACACTGTCAAGATTTTATCATTAATCATATCGGCCCCGTCACACACATTACTTTTATTTCTCATTCATCACAATTTATTACAGGCGGCAAATGCAGGATTGCACTGACTTGTTGTTTCCCAGTCACTGATCCAACTCATCTACAATGTTTTGTTACACTTTATTTTAAGATGTCCTTGTTACAGTGTAATTACGCAAAGAAGTATTGAGTAATATTAATTAACAACATGCACTTACTGTAGGCTTAGGGTTTGGTTTAGGCTTAGTTATTTGCAATTGTAATTTACTGTTATTACTATAGTAAGTATATGTAACATGTAACAAATATATTCAGTGGGTATAGAAAAGAATCACCCCTTTGCAATATTTGCCCACTCTTCTTTTCAGAACTGCTCAAGTTCAGTTAAATTTGATGGTGAGTGTCTGTGGACTGCAGTCGTCAAGTCATTCCACAGATTTTCAGTGGGGTTTATTCTGGGCTCTGACTAGGTCATGCAAGGACATTCACCTTTTTCTCCTTCAACCACTGTGTGGTCAGTTTTGCTGTGTGCTTTGGGTTATTGTCATGCTGGAAGGTAAACCTTCTTCCCATTGACAACTTTCTGGCAGATTTTCCTCAAGAATTTGACGGTATTTTGCCCCATCCATTTTTCCTTCTATCCTGACAAGTGCTCCAGTCCATGCTGCAGAGAAACAAGAACAGGATATTAGCACCTCCATGCTTTACTGTAGGAATGCTGTTATTTGGATGCTTGGTGTTGAGGCCAAATAATTCAATTTTAGTCTCATCTGCAAGTTGTTATACGTTGAGTAAATTCAGCTGGATGAAACAAAAAACTTTTCCGTCTTCATTTCAGGCTGCAAAGCAACAAAATGTGATTATTTTAAAGGGGGGTGATTCTTTTCTATACCCACTGTAAATAAAATGTTACCCAATGTTTATTTATGGTTATGTATTTATGTATGCATGTATTAATTCATTCATTCATTCATTCTGCCTACACACCCACCCAAAACTGCTGAAATAGATTACACATTTTTGACTAGCCCACAGATGTCAAATACAAATTTGAATGATAAATCCTACTATGAGATAATTTATGCTGACTGTCAAACTCTTGTCAAATTAGCTGTGCTTAGTTATTTGAGAAAAATGGTCATTATGTGTTATATTTTACTTTTTTATGTAGCTTATATTTTTCTTGTAGTGCATGGAGTGACATAAGTCCCAGAGTCAGTCACATCTACATTATTCCCGTACAGTGTATTAGCTGTACGGGAATAATTATTCATTGAGAGTTATTATTCATTAACTCTCAGTTCACACAGAGTTCACTGTGCGCTGGCAGAACCGAGGAATCGTGGGTCACAGGAGCTGACTTTCAGTTAAAACCAGTTAAACTCTGCGGACCCGGATACGGTTACAATGAAACCATTTTTTTTCATTTCCTCCATTGTATGTGTGCAGGGTAAACATTTGAATTTGAGTATGTTAAATTTAGGCGAAAATACCAAAAAACGCCCTGAGCTTAAGTGGTTTTAAACCACAGAGGATGTGCTGACTAAATATTATGGTTAAAATGCTTAGGAGTGAAGCTATAGAGTATGCTGTGAGAATGTTAGCATGTCAGAGTGGATGGACCTAAAATGCTAATGTAGAACTGCTAAGAATTGACAGTCTCAAGAGAAACATTGAGCATTAGCACAGTGCTGAAAATGAGTGATCTGGAATGTTTGGGGATCGCATACGAGTCAATGCAAGTCCCCTAAGAAATCACAATCCGCTCATGGAACTGAAGGAACCCAATCCAAGAGTGCTTAGACAGGCGCCATTTTTTCTAAACAGTGATTAAGTTCTATCAAATATCAGCACGGATCTTAAGTGCTTTTCTGATGAAAGGTCTCCCGTCTTGATCCTCCTCGTATAAACTTGTGAAATAGGATCTTTCAAGTACTTGGGTAACAATTAAACTCTTGAAAGGTAACCATTAGACAACTCCAACACACGCTGAAGCCTCTTTTCCTAACTTTTTTTTTGTTTGCCCCTCAAGCATCATTCACAAGATTTCACTGACAGCTACATAGACTGGAATTTGTGGCAGTTGATCCAGTAACATAACAACAGTACTTTTTTTAACAAAGCAATGTCTAAACAAATGTCTTTAAATGGAGTGGTTCGGTAACCCGGGCAGGCCTCATTCGTTCCTCGGGCAGCAATTACTCCCCGTAGACTTTGCTAATCCTGAAATATGGACCTGTGACTACTGTTGGAATTTAGCAAGAAATCAGCTCTTGTTTCACGAGGCTTTATTGGAATAAAGCGTGATGCAGTTCCTGTGATGAATGGGCCCAGGCAAAGTGACTGGGCTGGGCCTCTGCCTCCTTGTCTTTCACTATCACTTTAGTGCTAGTGCTGATTGGAAGTTTCACAGAAGCATGTAACAAGACTCTTCAGCTCATTGCCAAAGAGATAAGTTGTCAAGTCAATAGCAATTCCATACAACGTGCATCTGAGATATGCTGAATGTGTTTGCTTTTAGAAGAGGCATAAAGAGCTTTTTTCTGTTCAGTGTCCTTGAACCTAGGCTTCTGTAACTATAACTGAGGTGGATGTTGAGAAAATATTTTATTTTGTGTTTATTTTGAACTGGCAAGACAATAAATAACAACATTCTGTGAAGTAAAAAAACATAAATATAAAAATTGTATGGAATTTTAAGGGAAATCACAATGCACATATTTTTAAAATCTTCACAATATATGGTCACATTAGCAAAATTTTAAACCAAGTAACTTTTAACCAACCACTTTTAAACCAAGTAGCTTTCTGTTTCCTCTTAACGCGTTTGTATGGTGAAATCTTTCGCCCTCACACAGAATTCCTGATCTTGTGGATTCCGATTTAAATTTGCTGAACAATGGTAAATGTGGCCACACCTTAAGTTATGTGCTGTCAGTTTTTATATTGTTACTGATTTTTTATAGCTGTTTCTTAACTGATACAATGACAGCGCTGTAACTGTATAGAAAGGTGACCCTTTGAAAAGTGCAAATGTAGGCAGACCTATAACATCACAGTAAATGCTTTGAAGAAAACAGTCATTTTTCCTGAAATAACTGACATGACGTGTTCTGTTTTGGTTGCCATTTAGCAGGCATTTTTCATCCAAAGTGACTCGAAACTTTGCCTTTCCCTCAAGGGCACAAAGATGGCAGTTACCAGATTACTATTACATAGAACTGGACCTACTTTGAACCTCAAATGTTCAAATATTCGATTACTGTCACATTATTGACAACTGCCTTTGGAAGTAAACAAATGTATTTTTAAAATAATGCAGGTACTGTAGTACTGTTAATTATCAGAATTTTTGTATAATTTATTTGGTAACACTTTACAATAAGGTTCCATTAGTTAATGTTAATGTATTAACTAGCATGAACAAACAATGAACATTTATTACAGTATTTATTCGTTTTTGTTAATGTTAGTTAATGAAAATACAGTTGTTCATTGTTAGTTCATGTTAATTCACAGCGCATTAACTACTGTTTACAAGCACAACTTTTGATTTTAATAACGCATTAGTAAATGTTGAAATTAACATTAACAAACATTAACGTTAATAAATGCTGTAGAATTATTGTTCATGCTTAGTTCATGTTAACTAAAGTAGTTAACTAATGTTAAATAATGAACCTTATTGTAAAGTGTTACCATATATTTAGTATATTTATCATGTCATCATTTATTTATTTTTATCTAATTATTTACAGTATTGGTAATTGGCTTGATTTGTTGACCAAATCCATGTTTTTCAGTAGAACTTAAAATTATCATTATAATTGTATATGTAAACATGTAAATCTTTTATTTTTTAAATTGACAGTCGCTCAGTTGTTAGGGAAAAAAAAGAAAAAATGTCTAGGATTATGTTACATCAGGTTCATTTTATGCTTAATATTTACTGTTTATTTTTTGTTTACTGCAACTACCAGTGGAGTAAAAATAAATTTCTCAGAAAGGTGTTAAGACACCTTGACCTTGTATTTACGCATCCTTGAAAAAAAAAAAAGCTTAATAGCTGAACAATGAACTGAACAGCTAAGCAGTGTTTGTTGGTAAATACTGATTTCTGATAAAGAAAATTTACCTCTTAAAAAGGTCTGTTATAAACAAGGGCTGCCTGTATTTGTATAGACAAACTTTATAATCTTGTTTCAAAGATAAACTGTAACCGATGACAAAACAACACATAACATGAAAGATGATTCCAGTGCTGCAGTTTTTCCACTAGTTATCAGTTATGTCAGAATTATAGTAGTATGATACAGTATATCAAATAGTATACTATAAATAATTCCTTGTAGCCATATTCAATTTATTTACATACTGAATGTATAAAAAGTCATATATTCAGTGTAGTAGTTTTACTGAAAAAAAATAATTATTTGGAGAAAAAAAGAATTTGTCTAGTTAAAAAAAAAAACAGACACTGCAACTTTAATTAATTATTTATCTTGCATGCATGTCATTTCACTAAACATATAAGTATATTTCAACCAAAAATTAATGCCACAAAATATACCTCAGCACAGCTTGATATCATTTGGCCTTTTATAGACCATTTCAAGCCCAAATATGAACTCTAGGAAGAATTAATAATTCCCCAGAGTCTGCACTCCTATTGAGGAAAGGGAGTACGTTCTATCACTCCCAAAGTACTTTAGCATATTTATGGCTGATGTTCTGTTAACATTTTTCATACCATCAGTAAGACCAGCTTTTCTCATTGGGCTACACAAATCATGCATTGTATTTTTTTCAATATTAATAATATTGCACTGCATATAACTGCCTGCTATTATTCCTTCAAAAATTGCATAGTCATTATAGACTCAATTAACTAGTGAAA